CCGAATGTGTTTTATTCAGAACTTTATTAAGACTTCTACTTTTCCAATTTGATCTTCGTTTCTTGTTTTTTCAGGCCATAGGAATTTTTTTTCCTCCTTGGGGTGGAGAGTGGTTTCACCAGTCTTACATAATACATACATACATATATAACCACACATATATATGTATGGTGTATACATGATATACATATATATGTGATCAGATATAACCATGCCATATTCCATCCTGAAAATGTCTTATATCCAAGTGTTTATAATCAGCAAAAAATATTCTATTTTTTTTGTTAGATAAGTTGAACATTATGATTTAACACTAACATCCCTGTATTTAATACTAAAAATAATTACATTTACTTTGACTTAATTGGTCACACATGCCCCCAGAATATTTCATTTCAAGAAAAATACTTTATAGCAAAAAATATATATATTCTTTTCCAGAAAGTTCATCTATAGTATTTGGGAAGCTAAGAGTACACAAAAATATACAGTTAAAATATTAAAAAAAAATTATCAGTAACTCCTAAAGTAAATTTCAAAACTTACATTTTTGAAGGAAACACGCACTCTTTAATTATTCATAGGAATTGCCTTTGCTCTTTCTGGAAAGTTTGAAAAATACCATAATGACACAGATAATAATGTAATGGCATGACTGTGCCTATGGCAGAACTGTCATTTTTGATTGTTTGATTAATGCTTAGTTTTCCTGATAAGTCTGTCATTGCGCCGATCACTCTTCAATATCCACCTCAGCCATTTAGTTCTTCTCAATGTATAAGGATCAGGATGTCAACAAGGTGCTGCTGGAGACCCACAGTTTGCAACACACAAACAAAATGTCACTCTGCTTTTATTTCTTGAATTCACCTATTGTCTTCCATGTGACAATTCCTATATTTTTTTGCTGGAGTGGAGATGGTAATAGAATTAGGCACAGAGGAATCCAAAATTTTGTCAAAATGTGTGTCAGCTTTAAATTCGGAGGTTTTTGTAAAGGTTTGAACTATTACTAAAAACATGTTCTGGTATCCTGATTAGATCTGCCTAAAGTACCAGCTGTGAAAGTAATCTAGGCTTGTGTATTTGTTACCACATGATACAAACTCAGCAACTATATGAATATGAATCCAGTACAACTGTGTGGCTCCTAGAGTTAACAGTTAGAGAGATGCCAAGTGTTTCTTTATCTTCTGGTACCCATTACACATGTCAGTCTTCAATAAATGTGTGTAGAGATCATTGTTGTGTATAAGTTTACTCTTTCCAATTTTCTTTATGTTTTTGATCTACTAAACAAACTTGTCTCATTGAATTTAAACATGATTTCACATTGAAGTTAAATCTAGTTTTTTCTCTCTTTACATCTACTTCGTGCTCCATGGGAGATCACTGTTACCCTCATTCTCTCTGAAGTTATCAGCAGTTCAGATTTTCCCTCACTAATTCCAGACTTTTTTTCTCACTTCTATTTTAAAGTAGCTATAACTATCTAGTTTATGACATATAAAATAAAAACTTAAAAACAGGAAATTATCTTCATAGAAGTAGTAGTAAATACTGCTCGTTGAACACTAATATCTAAGCACTGTGTATAATTTTTTATGATCAATAGTCAGATGACCACAAGTCTGCAATGTATGTGTAACTATTCCATATAACAGCTGAGGAAACTTAGACTCAGAGAGGTTAGGCATTGTAAATAAAATTACACCAGTAGGAGTGACATTCCCTGGATTTGAAGCCAGGGATGTCTGATTACAAAGATCATGCAATTAGTCATTTTAGCATGACTTTATAAAGTAAGCATACTGAGAAAAGTTCACTATTAATGAAGATATTTCCCTGTCTTCGAGCTGCCTGTAATTAATGGTCATGTGTATCGATAAAAAGTAGCCAGAGCATGGCCTACTTCAGGAATCACAAGAGTCAACATTGTACAGCACAGGAGGAAATAGGTACAGAAGTGTTCTTGGTTGACTAAACAGCAATGGTTGAAAGAAAAAGACTCCCTTCACCCTTCCCAGGTTCTTCATGCAATGAAAGAAGAGATTTCTTCTCTTTCCAAAAAATCACCTCTTGAAGGAGGGAGGCGAAGGCCAAATCAACAGTGTGTTAGAGCAGAAATAAGCATTCAGCCTTCTCCATTCATGTACTGGACTTAATGATATGATGACATTGCTAGTATATTTCCACTGGCCACTGTCCTGACAGTTCTGTCAAAAAGCCATTTTTAGAACTGGGGGCTCATGTATGACTTTCCTATTTGTACATTAACTGTTACAACCTTTCACATTCTCAAGTTTGTGAAAAGATGAGGTTGAATAGTAAAGATGTTTGCAGGTGTAGTCTCTTGCCCTCAATGTGGGTTTACAGCTCTTAAAATTTTTTTTTGAGGAAAGCTGTCTGTTTGATGTGGATGGTGGTGAGAGTTATTTATGTAATATGGAGCCAATGTGAGTCGGCAGTGAGGAGAAATTTCCCAGTTAATTATCTAGCATTTGGGTTTGGGTCAAAGTGAATTAAAGTATAGCTTTCAAACTTGAGTAATCATATTCAGAGTTATGCCCATACTTATAGGGAGGGTGCTGATACACACACACACATTATGTATGTATATATCTGTATGTGTATGTGTGTGTGTTTTCAAGTAAAAAGGGTGTGAATGGAATCTGTACTTCCACTACTCCTAATCCCATGTGGCTAAAGCTTGGGCATCAGTCTTCCTGGCCAAGAGACACATTTTTATTTTCCCCCTCAACATTACTAAAAACCACAAATGTGGAGAGGAAAATGCCTATTCATTAATGTCAGACACTGATTCAAATGCTTTACAGGTCCCAGGACTGCATTAAATAAACGTTCACATAAAGTATGAGTCAGAAATGGCTCTCTCAGACTTGTTTTTGATATGTGATTGTTTTGAGCATTCAGGCAGTTTGTAAAATATATATATTTGAGGTGGAAATGAATGTCCTTTCAGTTTATAGTGGTAGTTTTAAATACCTTTATTTTAGTATCCAAATGATTGGTTTTATTTTTCAATTCATTAAGACATATTCCTTACCAAAAATATTAATATTTGAAGGCGGGTATCTAGATAATTAAAATCTGAGAATGCCTTTTTCTTTCTCTCCAGTGGAATAGGTAGGTAGGTAGATGTCTGTATCTCTATATATATGAATATATTTCTTTGTGTAGCTCCAAGTATATGTGTTTTTACATGTGTCTTTATATGTGTGGATATATAGGCCCATTCAGAAGTCATGATTAAAATACCAGCAAATGCGTCAGGAAAAGTTTCCAAAGAAGAAAAGTCATCAATATAATTAACTAAACACCATATTTTACATCTCCCTTTATTTATTTACTAAAACTTTTTGAAAACTAACACCATCACACAAATTAGCATAGATTAGCTCAGGTTATATAGAGATTGTGTTTTTCAAAAGTTGATTTGAGGCCCTTCCTAGTGGAGTGGCAGGTTAAAGCACAGCACTGAGAAGCTAAAGCCACTTCCTCATGAGTTCAATCCCCAGCCCCAGAGGTGATCCACATGGTGCGACAGACCTCTCCTGGCCCACCTGCTGCTCCTCTCAGCAGTGTACTTGTCAGTCGGCCTGTTCTGCTCCCCACTCTGTCTCTGGTGAATCCTCTCACTGCACCTGCACCTCTGGCTTGTATCCCAGTTCTATCTGAATAAATAAATCTTTAAGAAAAATAGTTGATTTAAGATTCAATCATGTGCCCCTTGGAAGAAAATAGGTGTGTCTACAAAAGACTCACCCATACTTAGGTTCTTTGAGGGGAGAGAAAAAAGAAAAGTATCTCAGCCAATAGTTTAAGATAATTCATAGTTTCATCTCTCTCTCTTTTTTTTTAAAGATTTTATTTTATTTGTGCATACAGAACTGGGATACAGGCCAGAGATGTGGAGGGTGAGAGAATTCACCAGAGACAGAGTGGAGTGCAGAACAGGCAGATCAACGAAATACACTGCTGAGGGGAGCAGCGGGCGGGCCAGGAGAGGTCCGCCACGCCATGTGGTCACCTCCGGGGCAGGCGGGAATCGAACTCATGAGGAAGCGGCTTTAGATTCTCAGTGCTGTGCTTTAACCCGCTGCACCACCAGGGAGGGCCTCTCTCTTTTTTTTTAATAGAATTAAAAGACATTCAGGAAGTATAAATAAAAGGAAAGAATTTAAATTATTTTGGCTACATAAGATCAAAAATTGTTGATGCTTTCATTTTTCTTCACATATTATTAATTTTTCACTGACTTCTTTAGTATCTCGCAGATTCATATACATCATGAGTAAAATGTCCCCACTATCCAGGGGATAGCCAGCACTAAGGTGGAAACCGGCAGGTTTAAGTGGCTGTACACCTTGAACGTCCATTTCTCTCCCGCAGCAGTCACAGGAAAATGAAACTCAGAGGGAATAAAGCAATTCGGTGACTGATCATCCTCCCACTAGCTGCTGTGGTGTAGCCATGCTACAATTTTATTTTTAAATTAAGGCTACTGAATAAAAGACTGATTCATGGGATATATATTCTACACACCATGCTTCCAATGGATTAAATAACTACTGATAATTTATCAACATAAGATTTTTTATTTGTTCGCTCCATTTACTTTACAACTAGTTAACTAGTTTTATTCTGGGGTAATCAAAGAGTGTAACCAGCACTCTGTTTCACACTGGGATCCAGCTAGGGAAAGTCTAAAGAACTCTACTTAGAGAGAGCAGTCTGCCATGTGGACACTGCTTCTGTGGAGTGGTAGTAGTTTACCCTCACTACTCTGTTCTTTGTTGAATTTTTAGGAGGTTTGTCTGAGCACATACATGAGTACTATGTAAGAATAAAGTGAAAAGTAGCATCTCTGACTAAGTATTATAATGCCAGACACCCAAAAAGGTTCTTTTTTGTAAGAAGGTATTAGAAGGCCCATTGGGGGAAACTGAAATGCCTGAGTTCCTTTTGTTTCTTGATAGAGTCGGCTCTGGAAGGCCTTGATGACCTAGGTACTATTTACAACAACATTGGCCAGCAGCTGAATGAAACAATGAGGCGTCGCAGACATGCAGGAGAAAACGATTACAACATTGAGGTGCTGCTGGGCGTGGATGACTCTGTGGTTCGTTTTCATGGCAAAGAGCATGTCCAAAACTACCTCCTCACCCTGATGAACATTGTGAGTAGTGATTCCTTTTGAGGCTTTTTGATCTTTTGATTCATTTCTCCTCTTTTGTTAGCATCTTTTGGTGACTGTGTGAGCCTGACCCAGAGCTCACAGGTTTGGATGAAGCCTGAGCCCCTCATCCAAAATGTGTGAACAACTACATTCAATTCAAATATTGATCTGCATAGTTAGCAGACAAGACTGCAAAAAAGAAAGGAAGCCTGAAGCAACTTTTTCTTTGGGGTGATTACCTAGTTTTCTACAGTTGCAGGGAAAATGATAAACTTTAAAAAACTATCATGGAATGATGGCATGGATTATGATTTTCATTTTTTGCTCTGGGGATAATGAAAGCACTCAGGTCTCTGTCCACCTGCCTTCATGTGAATCACGAGAAGTGAAATATTCTTTCTGCATCATTTTTCAAACCAGTTGACAAAGAGTGCTTTGGACTTGATTACTCTCTGTGCATGCTTGTTTTTAGACCTTTTGAGCTAAACTGATCGTTTCCAGCATTATATAATTGATGGCAACATATTTGCAAAGTATACTCAACTCTTGGCACAGTGCTGATCTGCAGTCATAAAAGAATCTAAATTTGTCCTTAATTTTCTCTTTTATGGGCCTTAATTACATACAGAAGAAATCTAGTCAACATCTTTAAACGGGCATTCCTTTGTTGTCATTTGGCAGAGGACAACTGAGGAGAAATAATGCATAAACCACCTACCTCTAAAAGTTAATTGATATCATGCTGCACTTTTTAAAATTTTAGCTCCTAAAATTATGAAAAATACATCAAAGTGACTTAAGTAATACATTACCTAAGACTGTTTTTGCCCTCTTTTAACTTTTCATGCATCTTTAGACATCAGTATTGTATTACCTTTCCTTTTCCAGGTTTACGATTTCAAACAATTACTCTGAGGAAGAAAGAATGTCATTATCACTAACTAAGATTTTATATTTTGTAATACATCAGCCTATAAGCTAAATGTGATTTTGCTCACTGAGATGTCAGTTTATAATATTCTCCATATGCCACGTCTGTGTGAGATGGAAAGGAGTACAGAAATCCAAGCACATTTGGATTTGTTGATTGGCTCTAATTCCTCTTATAAGGTCAAATTAGCACATAGAAAATAACTATATGCTTCTAAACATCCTAAAATACAGGGAAGGACAGCCCTGTGCCGCTAAAAATGATGACTTTTCCATTTAAAATTTCAATAGTGCTCAGATTAAGGACTTTCAGCTGATTTTACAGACAACTCCCACTGCTCTCCAACTGGATAATTTCAGGCTTCCCCAGAAGACAGGTAGACAGCTTTAAGCATGACAGACAACACTGAATCCCTTTCTCTCCTATCCCTACCCCCAATGCTCTACAGTAGACCATTAGATAACAGAAATGAGTGTGTCTTTGTCTCAAATTTATCAAGTACTTAAGAATTGAAGGTTAGAAACAAAACCAAAGATAACATTCTACTGAAACTATAATGGGAGTTTAGGCTTCTTATAGAAATCTGTAAACCTTCTTTCTTACATTTAGCAATGCTAGAATTATTTTGATCTGTTCTAGCCATGCTTTACAACTCACGTGGCTATGTAAAATTGTGACTCAGCAAATTTACCCAACACAACATAGAGGTTTTCTTCAAGTGTCACATAAGTTCGCTGACAGAACCTATGAAAGAAACTCAACAGCAAAAAAAGGTCTATCTCTTGGCCTTCATTTTGGGAGAAATACGTTACTGAAGAGGAGAAAAGAACATAATTCTTTTCATCTCATTTGGTACCTTTACCTTAGTTGACTAGTCAGCAAATAGGTTCTATCTTTAGTTTCCCTGATAGTCAATTTAATTACATTCCAGAGTCCAAATGGTCTTTCTTATTCAGCTTCTGAACTAACAGAGTACTTTCAGATCCAAGTGATTTGCTTCATATTGTTCCTTCAACTTAAAATGAACTCCATTTCATAAAGGAAGCTTGTATTTCTTATTTCCAAACTTTAAAAGGGTTTCTAAATTATTAAATGTTAAACATATGTCAAATAAAGGACTGGATAAATGAACAAATGAGGATAATAGCACAGAGGTAGATTATGAACAATCTTGGGAGACAAAAACTCTGGATTCAAAGTAAGATATAAATGACAGATGAAAGCTTTTTATCAGCTTGATGATATAATGAAAGCGGTGTTTAAGAAGTAAACCAGAATTTATTGGGCATTTCGTATTTTTTCAAGTATATTAGAAGATGTTAATTATTACCATTTTTTTTTCTGGAGGAAACAAAGGTTTTAAAATGTTAGTAAAATTGAGGTAGATTTATCAAAATTATTTATAGCTTGTTGAAGTAGTCTTAAAGAAAAATAATGTGGTGGTAATAATTATTAACAGAAGACAAAGGAGGGCCCTCACTGATGGCATGGGGGTTAAAGCACAGCACTAAGAAGCTTAAGCCACTTCAGCATGAGTTCGATCCCTGTCCCGGAGGTGACCCACATGGCGTGGCAGACCTCTCCTGACCCACACTCTGCTCCCCTCAGCTGTGTACCTCATCAGTTGCCCTGTTTTGCTCCCCATTCTGTCTCTGGTGAATCTTCTAACTGACCCTGCACCTCTGCCTTTACCTCAGTTCTGTATGCGTTAATAAAATAAACCTTTAAAAAATAATAAAATGTTAATAAAAATGAGTTAGATTTATCAAAATTATTTATAGTTTGTGAAATAGTCTTAAATAAAAAATAATGTGGTGATTATAATCACTCGGAGAAGACAGTGGAGCTCCTGGTTGATGAACACATCCAGAAAGTAAGAAATATGAAAATGGATAGCAATTATCCAACTCCCCAAGGAGGGGTTCTCTTATTTGTTCAGGTCTGTTTAAGAAAACAGTCCTTAAGACAACAATAGATACATTTTTACTCTGTTTAAATCATTGTGATGATATAAAGAAGTTCTTGACAGGTTAAGACCAGGAAGCACAGGGTTTGGTAGAGCCTAGGAAATAGAAATGACTTCTGACTGTTTGATCTGAATGAAGTACTAGTTGGTGCTATAAAGTCATGACTTGTTTTTTATTAGCGCTAGTAAGTTCTTACCAAGTTATTAGGTGAAAGTCAGTTAAAAAGACATTCAACGTCTATGTTCCATGAATTCTAATCCTTTTGTAGCCTGAATTTCTTTCAGCTAATACAATATTTAACTAGTATTTACCTAACTCTACAAATCACTGACATACATTCTTTGCACAGTCACATATTCAGTGTTACATATCTTGGTGGTGCTGTTTGAAAGCTTCACTATCTTATTGGTATCCTTTCTTTGTTGTTTTTACCTATGCTTTCCTATATAATATATCCACTTTGACTATATGAAGGAAAGATTAGAGAAAATTTTTCTTAATTTCCAAAATTGACTAAAATAAACCCACCTAGTTGCTTCCTAATCAGACAATCCTTAAACTAGACCTTGTGTATTTTTCACAATCACTATAAGTTGTCATCAGAATATAAAATCCATGAGTGTTGAAACTACTAGCTAAAATACCAAATGAACATTATTTGTGTGAAACTGAATTAATTCATTAAACATTTATGGCATCATCAGTACAGTGACCTCTACCCCCAAAATACTTGTAATATTAAAGAAAAACCAGAAATTCTGGTATTTTTATTTTCAAAGGCCATAAAAAACATATTCCTATAACCCTTTACTTTACACATGAGACAATAGCAGCACACATATTCTGCACTATTTTGGTTAGAGTAACTGCTGTTGACCAAGAGAAATGAGCTAAGAAATAAGAATAAGCTTCACAAACACCTTTTTTCAATCTCTGTAGTGTCCAGAATCCAAACAATGACAGTGAATATCTTGATAATTGAATTCACTCTTACATCTTTGTTTTTGTTTTTTCGGTTTCTCCAAAATAACTTCCATCCTACTGTTCTGTACCGTCCTGCTTCTGTTGCCCCACTTCTATCTTTTCTGGCGATATTTTGCTAATCAAGATCAGGAGCAACTATAAACTACTCTGAACCTTCCACAGATTACTCCCTCACTATAAAATGTGTGACTTGCTTGGCAGCACTTCTCCAGCAGGTGTCTGTGGGAGTGTAGTTGCTGTTCATTGTTACGTTTCCTACTGGCAGCATTTGCCACTTAGGACACATTCAATAAATTGTAATTGATTCCATCTTTTATATGTATCTTAATGCTAAACACCAGATATGCAATGGTGAACACAAAATACTCATTTCCTGTCCATACCAAGGCTACAGACTTGTGAGGAAATCAAATAAAACTGTCAGACATTAATATCAGAACTATGCAGAGAACAGTTTGCTTATAAAGAGGAAAAAAGGGTAAATAGCTGGTAGGGATTATGCATAGCTATGATGGTCAAGAAAGTCTTCTCTCAAGAAGTGATGAGTAAAAGAAAAAGCCATCATTGAAAGATGAGTGTCTTCCTTACTATTAAAAAAAAACTCACCATGCGAGGAGCCTGGCAGAAATTGGGTAAAAGAAGCACCTTTCCAGTCATGAGAGAAACTTGAATTCGATTTTAAATGAATCATCGGAAAGCATTGAATATATCTTTCTGTTTTATAATGAATAAGTTGGACAGGCTTATGGATAATGGAGACAAACCAATTACAAATCATGTCAGTATCTGTGCAAGAGATGATAGCTTATAGAACAATGCAATAATATGAGCATATATATTTGTGATAGCATCAGTACACTTGCCTCATGGATCAAAATAGGGAACTGAGGTAAAGGAAACAATTTAATTATAATTGTACTTTCCTATTTAAGTTGTTAACTCTTCAGCTCAGTTTGAACTCTGATGAATAACTGTGCCATTGTACATAGATGGGTTAGTGTAAGAAAAAAAAATTGATCGTGGAGAGTCAAGGTTACTGATGACATCTCTGAAAGTTTTTGATATCATCTAGTTTCAGATCAGGTTCCAAAGAATGATTTAATGTTGTTAAGTATAAA